GGCCCTCTTACTGGCGTTGGCGTCTGCTAAAAGGGCGGGCGATTTGTGTGCGCTCTCCGTCCATGCGTCGTGCCTGTCCTTTGGAGAGGACGACGGCATGGTGGAGTTGTGGCCCAATCCGGCTTTTCTTCCCAAGGTCATCACGTCGGCCTTTAGGTCGAGAGTGATCAGGATTAGGGCTTTCCACCCGCCGCCGCATGCCTCCCCCGAGGAGGAGCGGCAGCACCTTCTGTGTCCTATCAGAATGCTGAGGCATTACCTGGCCATGACGTCGTCATTCAGGTCGGGTGATCAGCTGTTTGTGTGTCTGGGCCCCAAGAACAGGGGCGCCCCGCTGTCGGCTCAGCGGCTGGCGCATTGGGTCGCCACGGCGGTGCGACGGGCGTATCAGACGCAGGGCCTGGCCCCCCCGGTGGGTTTCAGGTCGCATTCCACGCGTGGGATGGCGGCCTCTACGGCCCTTCTCAGGGGGGCGTCGGTCGAGGACGTTTGCCGTGCGGCTTCTTGGGCGTCGTCCTCCTCTTTCGTCCGGTCTTATCTTTCGGATGTGTCGGACCGGTCGGTGGCCCATTCCGTGCTGAGTGCAGCGGATTGAGTTAGACCGTTGGGTCCCTCCCCTTAGGGGGGGCCTTCGGTCTAATTTCCGCCCTGGTGCAGGAGCTCTTGGGAGAGGCATCCTACAGGTGCGGTACATTGTGTGTGTGGTCGGTCTGGTAGTCCACGTCAGGAGCTCTTGGGAGAGGAGTCCTGTGACTACGTATGACCTACGGCTTGTGTTACGTGGGGGTATCCTTGGTAGGAGTGGCCCCGTAACACGCTTGTTCTTCTGCCCTGAGTCCTCTCACGTTGTGAGGGTCTTACTCGGGCGGAGCTCCAATCACCCTTCGCTGGCCTGCTGGGAGTACATTTTCCTACGGCCTCCGCGTTGTGTCCCACTAGCGAAGTCCTAAGGGACGTAGCACCATGACGTAGAATTAATAGTTACTTAATGTAACTTAAGTTCTACGAATAGGTGCGTAGTCCCTTAGCTACGAGCCCATCAGGCCAGCCCGGCTTGGCAGAGTTCAAGAGGGGGTGCGGCCTTGTGCAGGGGCATTTATAGAGGAAGGTGGCTGGTGATTGGAGCAAATTATTTGATCTCTCTGGCGCGTGACCTGGGGGTCACGAGTGATATCCCACTAGCGAAGTCCTAAGGGACTACGCACCTATTCGTAGAACTTAAGTTACATTAAGTAACTATTAATTATGTCACTTTATTGCTGGTATTGCTTTGAGCCTGGCTGTTTTAATTGTATCAGAAAAGAGAAGAAATATCTGATTTGTGCTCTGCAAAAAAGAGAATTCCTGTCTGAACAGTGGCTATGACCTTGTAATTTATTAAATGTAACACGTATGATGTTCCCAGCCTAAAGACGTATCATAAAAAGTCATGGAATCTGGAGCATTGGATGAGCCAACGGCCAACCTTCAGTAAATGGAACAAGCTTTGCCAATCATTACTCTCTTCAATGCAACCTGGGGTTTTCACAGCTACATAGAAATGAGAATCATCAGGTTTTTACGCTGTTCGAATAAATCACATTTGGATTTTAAAGTTATGTAATTTTGCTGTGTGCTTGTTATTCCAAATTTCTTCAAAATCCCCCACAATTGGTAATAGTTGTTTAGCAGTCTAGTTTCTGTCTTTATGGCTACAAATACTATGAACTGTTGATAAATGTGAAGCAAATTGTGTGGTCCATGTTGAATTGACATTGCAACTGAAACATTTAAATAATTATACATGGGTTAGGGTTGTCAAAATATCACCAAGGTGTTTATCAGATTCACTGTTAGCTTCCATGCTGGTAATCATTCACCTGTCTATTTTGACAGTAATCTTGTCTCCTGTAGCTACTTGATGGAGTCAAAATAATAAAACCATAATCTCTTCTCCTACGACAACCCAACTCTATCATAATAAAAATACACAGATTAGCCGCATTGCTATATAAGCCGCAGATAGTGGCTTTTAGAAAATAATGGCATTTCTTATAAATGGTTAATAATGAATCACCATTTAGATCTATATCTGAACCGATGTGTAAAAATAATATAACTATACAAAGAACTACCATGGTTTGATTGTTTTTTTTCAGAATATTTTGTTTTGTAATAAAAGCATATATCAGGCAAATATGCATGTATTCTTCTACATTTCCACACAATATCTTTCAGTCTACAATGTTTTCCAAACTTTTATGGTTCTTTGTGTCTCACGGTGTACATATTTTTTACCTTCCTCGGCACTCCCTCCACTCAAGCCAAGTCTGTGGTAGAAGCGCCAAATATCGCCGCTATAGATCATTTTGACAGTTTAATTTCGACTGCTGATTATCATCCAATCTGATAATTATATTAACCAACCATCCAATTAATGTGTGCTATATTTACACTGATCATCCAGAAGAGCTCTTTCACTTACTTGACTCCTCCATCAGAGTAGAGATATTAGCACCTCAAAGCTCCTGACACGTAGAGATAGAGATTTTCCACGTGAGGCCAGAACGTCACGACCACCTGCCTGATGCTGCTGATGGCTGTCTATCATTGTACGCCAACTATTCACCGAGAGTTTGCAAAGGATGTATTTCTTATTGAATCAATTTACGTCAATCAAATACTTCTAAATGCAATACTGCTACCACTAAGTCCTGATTTCTGTTTTTATTGAAGAAAAAATTTAAAAATTTGGGAAATTGTTGGAAAATTATGATATTAAAGCTGGGGTAAGAAAAGATATGGTAGACTTTATTGATCTCACAGTGGAGTCACACACCAAATGTCACATTTGGCTTGGATAAAAATCACTCAGATTGTGCAAAAGGTTAAAGGCAAGCTACTATTATTGTCCAAACAGAAACTAAAAACAAAACCAAACCTTTGAATGGGGGAACAATGTTTAAAGATGGTCAAAGAGTTTAAGTAAGGGATAACGTATATTACGCAGGTCATTATCGGAAAATAAGTACCGACAGGGCGAAGCGGACCCCGACGCGCAGCGGAGGGGTCTGCTTCCGCCCTGAAGGTACTTATTTTACACACAACATAAACTTCAGTCCACTTTTAGGAATGCCGAAAGGTTTATTTAATGACAGAAAATAAAATAGTTCCCAAAGGCTTTCCCGTGGCTATGCTAGCAACAGTTAGGCTGGCAACTTCCAAACTAGAACTCTCTGGAACTGCATGAAAACTGAACAAAGAATTCTGAACATCAGCGGTGAGTGACCCATAAATAAACCTAACCTAAATCCATAATTTGATTCTCTGCAAATGTGTCCGAAAATGTGCCGGTATCTTAAAATGTGCCTCTACTTCCGGGTTTTTCGGGATCGCCTTTTCTCGCATTACATCAGTGTTTTTGTCATGAAAACGTAAACGGAAAATTCTGAAAACTTCCGTACACTTGTATTAAGACTGGATATGTATAATTCACTCTCCGATTAACATTTCATTGCGTTGATTGATTGGCATTTGCGTTTATTGAGCGGCCGGAACTACTTCCGGGTTTTTCACGATCGCTTTTTGACGCAGAGAAATAGTATTTTTGTCATGAAGACAAGATCAGAAAATTCTGAAAATTTCCGTGCACGTGTGTGAAGAATGTATATGTATAAGTATTCTCCGATTAACATTTAAGTGTCTTGATTGAGCGTGGCTAGCTCCGGAGTGGCCGGAACTACTTGCGGAGTTATCCACGCATTTGAAAGACAAGCACAGAGTGCGTTGCCATGGGCAGCGGTCATTATTGTTTTGAGAGGTCCGTTATAGAAAATAATGACCGGTAGAACGTTTTGAAATTACATTTAAATCAATGGAGTATTCTACTGCTGCTGTGAGGAGCCGTATAATAACCTATAATAATTGACTCTGTACTTTTCATCTTTGTCCACTTGTGTATGTTTGTTTTTGTTTTTTATTTATTCATTATTTTTCATTTTTAATTCTTTTGTCTTTGTTTTATTTTATTTTCTTAAAAAAAAAGAAAAAAAAGAAATAAGAAATTAAAATAATTTAGATGTTTTTAGATGTTTTTTTTTTTTTTTAATAATGGCCATTTTTCCATTTTGCCATATCCATGTATTCCTGTTACAAAGTTACGGCTGCTTCCTGTTTCTTCACCCAAGCCCTGAGCCAGAGATGGAGCGTAACGGCGTGTAGGTGGTACAGTGGAGAATGGATTTTATGCCTTTCTTTTCATCTTTCCTCTCTGCTTTGTCAAAGTTGTGCTCAAGACAGACTGCTTCCAAGACCAAATCATCTTATCTAATTTGAAAATGCCTGTAAATTGGGCCGTGCTTTTCATTCGTGGTTGTTTTTCAATATTCAAAATCGGCCAACACGAGGGTTTTCTTTGCCTCGAGTCAGATCCGGGCAGCTGGATGTGTGCAAAGACCATCGAGAAGTTTTTTTTTGCTGTCCGTCTGTTCAAGTGGTTTAGTTGCATTTGCCAAGTTTAACAAAGTAAAGCGTTTTCAAGTATCATTTCAAGCAGTTATTGTCAGTAATTATTGTCTTGCTTTTTGTCTGGTCCCTCTCACTCTGAGCTTGACAATATGCACAAAGTTTTTTTTTTTTGTAAGTTGACTGTCTGCTGCCTTATGGCCTCCTAAAAATTTATCATAGGATTGATTTAGCGCGTTATGAAAAACTCAGAATACATGCTGTCTCCATATTTCTAGCAAACACGTTATATATTGCATCTTTCTCGGAAAAGAGCCATGGGAGTGACTATTTGATTGGCTGAGTCAGGGTGGCACTTTCTTGTTTACTTTTCAGTGTGAAAAAAGCTGATTGAAAGAGGTGATGGACACCAGTATGACATGCATGTAGAAACCAGTGATATAGAGTTCAATTGTTATGGTTTGAAAGTTAGGTACCCTACTTTAAAGTACCCTTATGCATCGAATAGAATAGTAATTTCTAATTTTCTGCAACAACCAAATTGGTTGGAAGTCCAAATGGGAAAAAGGACTGGTAATATTTTTGGCCTTTTCATTGTATGAACTGCTTTTGAATGACGTATTTAATGAAGCATTCCATTATAAACTGTTTTTCTCTTTCCAGATGATGTCCCTCCATACTTCAAGACGGAGCCGGTCCGAAGCCAGTTGCACCTGGAGCGGAACAGGCTGGTGCTGACGTGTATGGCAGAGGGCAGCTGGCCCCTAGAGTTCAAATGGATCCACAACACCACAGAGCTCACACGCTTTTCTCTAGAATACAGGTAAGAAACCACACGGCGAAGTATGCAAATATGAACGAGAACACAAATAGGCTAACTGTGAGTGGCAATGTTTTGTTTTCTTGTCCATGTCCGTGCTAGTAATTCCACAATGATAATGTAGCTCTTATCCATTGTTTGAAGCAATAGTTTGTTGAATATTTTACTATCATGATTTTAAATCCTAAGAACATTTCAGAGGCGCATATCATTTGGATATGTTTGTATTGTGGTTGGATCTCAGTTAACTACTTCATTATTTTTGGGTTCTTGGGCAAGACACTGAAAAATTGGCTATAATGTTATAATGTTGGCTGTGAGTGACAATGAGCAAAGTAAATAATAATAAAAAATATATTATTTATTTATTTACAATTTTTCAAACAGAGTGCTTATAAAGTGCTGCACAGTCAGCATAAAACAATGCAATTCAATAAAACAGTCATAATATAAAATAGAATCAAACTTCAATCAAGCATGACAAGAAAGACAAAACAAAGACACTACATTCAGATGTGTTTATTTTGAAACACTTGCTATCGGTGAAATAGAAAAAAGAGTTGTTTTTATTCCCATGGCGTTGCATCAACACATGGACCCTTCAAACATGAACTCCCATCCATCTAAATCTACCGCTGAAAAACCTAAAAACAACTGTATGTTTGAAAAATATTATCCCATTTATCCATATTTATCTTGAAAGGTTAGGTGTCCTTTCCTGCACATTTTACTGGTATATTTGCTTCTTTGCTCGCCTTCATTTGTCACAATAGGCCTCGCTCTGTTTTTCACACCAGCCTGTCATAGGTCACTGAATGGAAAAATGAAGAAATACCTTCCTTCATCCGCTTTTTTTCTGCTTGCATTCTTGCCCTTCTCTCTGCATGGTGAGCTCTTGGGTTCCCCCTGCTGGAACGGTCACCCTCTGCAGGCCCCCAGTTGCTGCGAACAAGCAAAAAGAATGGTCAGATTTGGTGATAAGTGCCATTATTGGTTGCGATTGTAATCACGTGGTGGACATAGGCGTTATCTTGGGAGGCAGTGAGGCATGAGTGGTCTCGCGGTACAGATGGAGCAGGGGGATTGGGAGCACGGCTTGTTGACACGCAGTTTGCTGATCCGCGCTGTAATGTTAGTGGGCTGGAGGTGAAAGAGATTGTTGAGGGTTTGTCGATGGAGCTCAGGGCTTTTCTCGACTGGTCCTAGAACAAGATAACATCAAATAGGACTGCTAATGGACAGCGGAAGGCAATGGAGACTCTTCCGACGCGGGAGAAGGAACTTTGAACTGCTTGGATTTGTTGTTCTTACCGTGGATAAGGAATGGCTGGACATCAGAGAGAGAACAGAAAGGTTTGTAGAGTTTGGTGGAAAACTTAGCTGCAAAGTTTTGAACGAAAAACCATTGGGCTGTAAGTTGTATTTGTCGGTGAGAATATGATTTTAGTTAGATTCCATTTATTTTTACACTGCAGATCTGTGTTTTTTGACCCGTGTTGAAATGCTGTGTCCACCTTGAACAATGGTGGAAATGCTTGGCTTGTTGTTTGGACCTGTGTCGGCTTTCCACCAATCGAAAGACAGGAAATTGTCAAAATAAAAGCTTTGAAACAAACACACACTTTAGACTTACAAATTGCGTCTTCAAAAGTCACTGTGCAGCAGGTTCACAAGGAATCAAATTTTTTAATGGACTTTGGCGGCAAGAATTGTACACTCCAAGCACTATACCCATTTTCAAACATTATTTTTCACAAATGTCTAAACAGTCCTTATGCACAGAATGCTTCCTGGTCTGACTTGTCATGAGTATGTTTAGAAATTTCACCTGACCTGTAAGCAACAGCAGGTAAAATATGATATTGCTGTCAAAATTATAGCTATTTTTGGAGTGTTCAAACTGTACACGCCTCGACAAAAAAAATACTAGGTCACAAGGCGGGTTAAATACACAGTTGTTTTGACACACCAGCCTGTGTTGCTCAGTGAGGGAGGACATTGACCCTTGTTTTTTGAGTTTTTTGGTTAAATTTTCCGATTGGATGTACAATCTGATTCAACCCATTCATATACATATTTGGTTGCAAGGAGGTTTGTGTGTTTTTCTGTGCTTTTTTGGTCGTGTAAAGTGGGATACATTTTTGTAGCCGATATAATGCACCCGTTGAAGAAATCTGAATAAAAGTTCCATTTGCATGAAAGTCTGTGGACAATACATAACAGTGCGGAAACGAGACGAAAGCTGCATTTGCAAACACTGAATGAATCAATATGCAACTTTGCTTCACACATTGGGAGCGTACACTTTTGAAAACGCCATTATCAGGAGTGTTTGTTATGCCCTGGAGATTTGTGCTGCTTCCTTTTGATGCATCCAGATCGGAGACATCATTTAAAGTAAAAAAAAAATACATTGATCAGGCATGTCCAAACCAAGGCCTCTATGTCAGTCCATGTGGCCCTCGAATGTCCGTTCATGTGGCCCTCTGCCTTCTGTCTTCGAGATCATAAACACAAGTTCACAACGTCAATCAGGCAACTTCAAATCTACCAATACACGCATGCCATACCTCGTTGGAAAGCTATAATCCGGCCATTATTTGTATATTGCACCGTCACGGCAGTGCAAGATGGTAAACAAATGTCATTCAGCCGACTTCAGCTCTGTGAATCAATATGGACATTTGATATACCTCATTTTAAAGCTCGAACTCAGTCAACACAGTTTTACCTTCTGGCTTGTCAGCCCCTGGAAAAGTCTGATTAACTAAAGTGGCCTTCTTACTAAACCATTTGGACACCCATGGTACAGATATATACTGTAGATGTATGTATTGGACTCAAGGCAATTCAATTCACTTCAATTCATGTTATTCTTGTATAGCCCTAAATTGCAACAGAAGTTATCTCGGAGGACTTAACAAAACCATCGAATTCACAGATCAGAGAATCAAACAGTTCAAACACAAGAAATGCAATAATAAAAAACACGTTGATCCATAAGGGGCAGATGACCAATGTCCATAAATGTTGATAAATGTCCAAAAATGTTGTTGAAAAGGCAAGCCAATGTATTGTCTTGCACAATTCAGGCACAAGGCAACTCAAAGTCATTTACAAAACAAGAATGGAAGCATTGAAATCATCAGTAAGTAAGAGCTCAAAAACATATTCCTTTCATTAAAATATTACCTTTTCAGTTGCATGCACAGTTGAGAAGAACGTTTCCGGATTTTTTTTTGCTGCAGACATGGAAAAAAAACGCTGACTCATGTTTACAAAAAGGCCACGATCCATTTTTGCACTTTGCCTGGTTATTTGTTTACTCACATATGGCACCTTTAGGCTTCGCAACAGCTCGAACGGTTGTTTTGCACTGAGAAATACAGCCGTTCCACAATTGACTCGTGACCCTAAACTCCTCATACCTTGCTTTATAAATGTCGGAATGTATTTCATCCACGTTTGGGAATCTTCCCGTGTCCTCTCGGCCTCCGGTCCTTGTGTGCGAAGCAGATGTAGGCTCCATATTAATGGGACTAAGGCAAAGGTCCCTCGTGTCTCAAGAAGCTTTAAATATTGACACAGTGCGACTTGACCTTGTGTCCTCGGGCAGTGGATCGATCGCGGGAGTAGTGTGTGGGCATTCCGATTACCCACGATGCCGATGGGCTGATCCGTGGTGAGGGAAGTGATGCGCGGTGACAGTTTTTATCGCTGGATACACACGTTTGACCAAATCTCGTTAAACGCTCCAACAGGCAAAATGAGGGGCATGCATTTTTTAATCTGTCTGTGTCAAAAGTTTCATGTTAAAAAAAAAACACAAGTTGGGGTTTTCTATTTTGATGGCACTGCATGGAGTACATTGAAGTAATATAGTGCAAGCAGATACAAATAATGATAATTGATTTGATATTTGAGTTGAAAAATCGGAACCCATCAAAGATTAGACTTAGACTTAGACAGACTTTATTGATCCAAAGGGGAAATTGCGTTGTCACAGTAGCTTGCATAGTATTTCACAATAAAAAAATAAAAAAATACAGTAACATTAAAGTAACAATCTAAAAAACTAAACATATTTTAATATAACGAAGATATAAGACATTTAGAAGTAAATGTTAGCTATTTTTTATTTAAATTCTTACAGCCAATTGTTTTGCCAATGGGAAGGACTATAATACATCTTTGTAATGACTTAGGCTACGGTACATAAAGCTGGGGTACCTAACTTTTTTCATAAATCTCACATGAATTTTCTTGTAAAAGTAGAAAGTCAAGAACAAATTAAACCACAACATGCTTTTTTCCAAACATGTTTAAGGCCCTGTGAGTCACTATTTGACTATTTGGGCTGCGAGCTAATTGGCTGAGTGAAGGTGGTCCTCACTTTTTTGCCTTTGCTGTCTGTGAGAGAAGCCAAAAAACACAAGATTATGAAAACTAGAGCGAGGAAATAGTTGGATTTGATTACAGAGTTAGCATTTTTGTTCAAAGTCAGACCCCAGCTTTAAATCAATTTGTTTACTTACTTAATATATACAAAAACTCCCAATACTGACTTCTGATGTGAACCCTATCACATGCCAACCCATCCTCCACACAAACTCCTGGTGAAATCTAATCACTGCTCGCTGAATTGGCTGCATTGCTGATTTGCATCCCAATTAACTGCTTCTAAATCTAACCTTCTTTCCATTTAAGGGTGATGTGCTATCTCACTCGCTAATCTCTGTTTAATTACTCATTTTTTTTAAGCAGACGGTGATTAATTAAACAGACAGAGCGCACACATACATGGCACCCGCAGTGGTATCACATGGCAAAGAAGCCCCGCGGGGTTCACTTACCTCGCACACGACCACGCACCGCTCGGGCCAATTAACCCCCAAACTTCATTAATGGACTTCGCTATTAAGTAGTCGCACAGAGACACGGTGTCACTGGACTGAAGCGCTGTGAGGTAAAATGTTATATAAGTAAAAGTCACTTGTTTTAAA